CTCGAGTGCAATGTATTACAGAACACGTAACATAATACAAAATTCATTCAATCATCATAATCCGCCATCCGCCAAAAATAAGCACATTTAACAAAATTTATAATCTGATATTTATCCATGTTTACGATTTATTGCATGCGCACAGATCTCGCCATGTTTGTGTCGCAACAAAAGAACAGCACTAAAGAAACACGAAACTTGATATTCACAGGTGATATTTTAACATAACCTTTAAAAACTTTCTTAACTCGATAAAAATTTCGATTATTTCGATTTATCGGCGTTACCTAATTTTTCAATCACATATTGTTTGTTCTCCATTACACGAAAAATTAACACTGGTGCAAGACTACTGACAGACACGGTGTGACAGCTGATCAGAGCCATAGAGGGGCGAAGAATACTTGTCGGTGGTACTTTGTTGGCTTTTTGTTCGTCGATATTAACGGAAACACCTGGAGACATCTCTAGTTGAGCTTTAAGCTGCGAGGTTGATGATACTGGGGTTGGAGCTTTCGGGGGAGATTTGAATGCCGCGCGCATGCATTTACCGGTTGTTTATGAGATTTATTTGAAACTTGGGTTTTGGTGTTAATAAAAATTAGGTGTAGTTGTCGACTATTTGTTAGTAGCTTTGTGTAAATTGTGAGCAAAGTAAAATATCTTATTTAAAATTTTACACAATAGTATTTGATGACTCTAATAAAGCATCACGTTAGTATGTTTGTGTAATAAATAATAATATCTACTATTCAAAAATACAACTTTGACAAATAAAATTTGATAGTGGTAAATGTTTCTAAGAATGAATTTATATATTGAAAAATATTTATTTATAATGTGTTCAACGTTTTCTGAAACTAGAAGATTATACAAACTCTATAGTTACTTAGCTTTCTAAAACCATTCTCAAGAAGATTGAAAAAGAATTGATATATTAAAATTTAGCACAATAATTTCATATTTGTATTTATAAGTGTGAGTGAATGAATTAGGCCAAATGGATCATAAGATATTGTAATCTGATAACTGTTAAAAAAAAATTTAAAAAATGTAAAATATGTATATGAAAAACACAAAACGTACGTTTCCATTAATCAACTAATTTATTTATGCTGGAAAGTGCATTTTTTGTTTATATTTATTCTGCATATAAAGTGTTCATAGTTACAATAATTTAAAAAAAAATATCAGTCACTTTTACATAAACATATATAAAGCGATTATATTTCACCATTTTTCAGATGGTGAAATATTATGATAAAGTTGTTCTTGGACATCCATCCAATAATTAAAACAATTTTATTGTAGAAAAACACGTCAACTGTTGTTTGTCAACTTTATGAGAAAGGCCTTTTTTTAATTTTATTGTAGAACAATTTTATTTTAGAAAAACACGTCAACTGTTGTTTGTCAACTTTATGAGAAAGGCCTTTTTTTAAAAAAAAATATTATTTTATTTTTATTTTGTTTATTTTAATATTTATTAAAAGTGATTATGTAACTTGATATTATATCAATTAGTGTTCATATATTTTCGTGTGCTTTTCTGTTTTTTTTCTTTAATTTATTTGTATGCACTGATATGTCAAATTGTATGATATTATAATAAAAACATTTTTCTACAATAAAATTGTTTTAATTATTAGATGGATGCCCAAGAATGACTTTATCATAAACACACACACAGATATATATATATATATATATATATACCAAAAATAATAAAGCATATACATTATTTTAATTATTATTTCTAAATACCTGGATAATTTATCTTAATTTTCAGAGATAAAGTATAAAGATAATTTTTAAAGCGAAAACAATTTCAGTTCCATAGCTATATAAATTATTTCATATATATTTAGTTATGAATAATTTTACTTTTAACAAATAGAATAATACTGTTTTATAATAATGGGCTTTTACATATCAAATAATGCTTTTTTTTGTCCTCTATGACTGTTCAACAAAACTTTTTAATTTTATAATTGATTACGAATCACGATTATGAGCTAAATTTTAAATTTAATAAAAAATCAGTACTTTCACATTATAAAATAGAAGAAAAATAAACTAAAGGCTCTATTATAATTTTCCAAATGTAATTTTCAAATATTGTTTATATAATCATATAATTTTTGATATGCTATTGATAAAGCCATACAGAAATAGATTTATCGCATAAACACGTAATTTGAAGAAAATTAGAATAAGAAAGAAATAAAATTAAAGTTTAAATTTCTATAAAATCATGAAAATTATTTTAATATGATTTAATTTAAATTTTGATACCCAACGATAATTTACTAGTCACGATTTTTGTATTATTAGTCATCTATTTTTAAAAAAAACTGAAACTTGAACTATATATATATATATATATATATATATATATATATATACATATAATTAGCTAGACGCATTTGCTATAAAAATTTGTTTACCTCAATTGGCCATAATCTTGTGTTATGTGTGATATAATGAGTCATCAAAAAAATACATAATAAAAGCATTCTATATATGGAACATTTTGTTTAAATTCACCTAAAGTCAAAAAATCACATCTCCTGCGCAGGACCAACGAATCCCAGAGTTCGGCCCAATTTTCTTCATCTGGCAGATCCTGTATCAGTTCTGACAAACCCTCTCGCCTGAACGCTTCGCTGTCATGTGAAAAATTAGAAAAAAATCTGTAGAAACACTTATATAAAAACATAAAACTTACTATAAAAATCGTGAAAGATTTTGCAATCATTTTTAAACTAAGGTATGAAATGTCTTTCCAACAGAAACGTGTTAAAATCGTGACGAACGCAATCAAGTGAAGTGAAGATTTAGTTTAGCTCATTGTTGTAAATTCTGGACTATTTTGGTATAAAAACAAATATGTCATACAAAAGAAGATACTTACTTGCAAAGTATTTGAGATAATCAAATATAAATTATAGTTAAATTTATTAAAAATCATGTATCTGGATATTATCTTGCTGACATGGCTTACAGTTACAATAAATGCGAGAAAAGGTAAGTTACTTGCAGCATCTTAATTTGATAATCAATTAATTTATCAAATTATCAATTTAATACGGTATTTATTCTATTCTTGTTTTAATTCAATTTTAAAGACTGTCAATGTCTAAGTCGTTTCATATTTAAAAATGAAATCATATTATGATCTGTAAGCATATTCCTCAAATCCAATCCTCAATTTCTTTTCTAGAATTATAATATTTAATGAAATTTGATAATAATTTATTTCTCCTGTGAAATAGTATTTGTCCTGATTTTATAACACGCCTAACTTTGGTTGTTTTAACAAAATTTTCAAATAATGAAAAAATTGCATATACTCAACAAAGCATCATTACAATATAAACTATCTTTAAGGTAAATATTTGCCTAATTTTGCTTCAAATATTTATTTGACATTAATGGTTTTATGAAATATCAAATACATGTAAGAGTGCGCAAGCTCTGTGAAAAGGGGCGGAAATCTTATAACGTAATAATACTAAATTTCTTAAAAAATCTTGTTTTTATTTCTCAATAAACATTGAAACTATAAGTTTCAAAGTATTAGAAATTTTTTTTAAAAAAATTTAGATTTTTTGAAAAAATATTGCCATTGCATACGAGGGCGTTTTCAGACCTTCTTACACTTGCCAATTAGATTATAAAATGATAATAAAATATGTCTTATTACCGAGGAATCGTTTTTTTGCTGGACATTGATAGTGAGGGATAGTTCATTCAAGAATTTCAGCTCTTGCGATGTAGTCTTCAATGTACTTGTTGCTGTGAAGCTCGTTTTTGCGCCTGCGCATTCGCATTTTATATTATATGTAGACAATTAGTCAATGATTCTGTCAGGGAAGACAAACAGTTTTGGGAGTTACGTCGTAATTAACCCGTATTGGGAAGAAAAACATGTTTGTAATGAAAATTGCATGGAAATCATGAAACAATAAAGAGTTGTACGCAGGACATAATTGTCATTAACTTCTACGTGGTTTAAATGGTATATCTATCACTTCAATTAACTCGTATTGGGAAGAAAAACATGTTTGTAAGCTTTTGTGATAAAAATATGCATGGAAATCGTGAAGCAAAAAAAGTTGTACGAAGGACATCATTGCCATATACTTCAACGTTGATGAAAAGCCAGTTTTCGTACTGGACCATGGTTCATCTATTACTTCGTCCTAATATAATTTCGTCATTAACTTTATAATTTAATCATTATTTCATCATTAACTTTATAATAATAACTATTATAATTTCATCATTAACGTAGGATAAATTATAGTAATCGCAGAAAAACAAAAATAATTTTTTTATATATATTTACGTTTCAAAACACTGAACACTTTAGCATACCTTATAAAAAATGGATATAGGTCTGTGTATGTGTGTGCGGATAAAAATTTTCATCGATAATTTTGGGAATACGGATTAATCGGTTTGAATAATTCAAAAAACATTCGATAAGTTTTGGTGGGGAGATGTACTGATTTTGGCAGAAGCAGATCCAGCCGTTTCGAAGATTTTGGCAAAAAGTGTCAAAAATAGTGATTCAATATTTGAAATTATAGAGCACCCGATTTGAATGATTCAAAAAGCATCTTATTTCTATTAATCAAATGCAAAAACTAGTAAAGTTTTGGAAATTGCAAGTTTTAGAGACGCAATAAAAAAGTAAAAAAAGTGCCATTTGGGGGTCATTTTTTTTTCAATTTTAATTTTATTCTGCCATCTGTATATGTAATTACATTGAGCAGAGAATGCTGACAAGTTGTTTACAATTCGTTATTTACAAATTAGTAGATACCCCCAGTGGCGTATCTACTAGAGCTAATGTAATAAAAAAACTAAAAACAAAAAGGGGGAAAAGCAATAAAATTATGTAAACTGAAAGTATTATAGTTAATTAAATTATATTAGGTCTCCGTGTATTTTTCTTCTGAGCCTGCTCGGCTGGCCTTCCTGGTATAAATGATATGCTAGTTGGTTAGGATGTACGGTCAAAAACGATCATTAAAAATATTCGCATTAAATTATGAGATATTTTATAGAAATTTTAATAAAATGTACAAATTTTGTTTAGATTTTTCTAGGTTTCGTACTAATATATTTATATATTAGACCGCGCCGCGGCGCCAACTCGCTTCTATATTTTATATCTGTGCAGTTAACCTAGTGCGATTGCTTTAAAAAAAAGTTTAAAAGTTAAAAAAAATTCTTTTCCAAAAAAAATAATTTTCGGTACAGGAAGTTCCAGCAATTTGCCTGGAAGCACGATGCCATGCACCACTAGTTTAGATTTTTCATTTGTTGTCATTTCGCGAATTTATCTTATAAACTGGTTAAGATTTATTAGGCAATCATTTAACAAATTATTGTTAAATTCAACTATGTTCGGATAGCCAAAACTCGTATGTGTAAATATAATCTACTCTGATAACAGAATATTTTTAAAATAGTTATTGGCTTTCTTTTACAAAATTAGCCATTTACAATTAGACATATTATAATAGAAGAAAAAATTTACGCGAAAAGAGAAAATACAGGAAACTGAAAGCCAAAGGACAAAATCAAGAAACATGGAAACAGAAGTTCGGAAAGGAAAATACATAAAATAAAAAAAATGAGGGGAATAGTGGTAATGGGAATGATAGACGAAGCGTAAGGAAATCATTTATTTGTGGTCGATCTCACACCATGGACCTGCCTTCGGGCATACTACGATTTATTATTATTGTATTATAATACACCTATACTATAACATTTTCCATGACAAATAACTTTATAATATAGCAGATTTTATTTCTACAAAGCTTTCAATTCCGTAAAATTAAATGTTTCAAAAATAGAAAAAAGAAAATATTTTATAGATATCTGCTGATGAAGACATAAAATTACATGTCAAAACTTTATTTGATGTTATGTCTTCTCCGATTATATATGTAATATGTATGTATGTATGTGTATACACACGTGTGTTATATACTTATTTTCCCCATCAACTTCAAAATAAACGGTTCGTACATCAAAGATTGATTTTCCGTCGTCGGAAAAGCGTCTCGTACAGTTGACAGTCTCTGTGGTACATCGCCCACGTCAGGCGGCGTCGCTATCGATCGCTCCCTCGGACGCCCACGAGATACGCAGCGTCAAGTATTTTGTGTGTGATATTCTTCTAACGTGAATTATTCTTCGGCCATCTAGCTACATCTCACTCTCATGCTCATGTACCTTATATACAAACCCACACATTATATATATAGTCCTAGAGCCCTAGTATATACATGCATATATACAATAAAACAATGTATTCTGAAGGACTGATTTCAATCTATTTTTGGTCCACCCACAGACAAAACTTTTTCATAAGAAAAAAATGTAATTTTTAGAAGATGCCTAATTTTTGCACATCTAAAATATCTCGTTTAATTTATAGAATTTAATCCATAATTATAATTTACTCTCACGGTCTTAAAAATCAAGCCATTTTTAAATTTCACTATTTTTTCACTATTTTTGGGTCCTAGTCCTATCCTTAGTATATACATATATACAATAAAACAATGTATTCTGAAGGACTGATTTCAATCTATTTTTGGTCCACCCACAGCCAAAACTTTTTCATAAGAAAAAAATGTAATTTTTAGAAGCAGCCTAATTTTTGCACATCAAAAATGTCTCGCTTAATTTATAAAAATCATTCCATAATTATAATTTACTCTCTCGCACTTAAAAATAAAATCATTTTTAAATTACCACCCTTTTTTAAGTATTCTCACAGATTCAGATTCCATACCAGATCCCATTGATGAATCTCCAAATTTGGTAATATCTTTGGTATTGCCAATTTATCGTGGTAAATTAGTAAAAACATACATTTTCAAATGTAACACGATCTAAAATCCAGAATATATGCCAGATCCTATGATCCAATTGATGTTCTAATTTGGTAAAATATCGTGGTAAATTGGTAAAAGCATATACTTTCAAGTGTAACACGATCTATAATGAAGATTTCATACCAGATCCTCTTGATTGTTATATGTAATTACATATATTTTGAATAAAACAAGATCCAAAATCCAGATTACATGCCAGGCCTCATTGATTAATCTTCAAATTTGATGAAAAATGGTTGTAAATTGGGAAAAACTTATATTTCCAAATTTATCACGACCTAATATCCAGATTGCATACAATATCCCGAATAATAGAGATTTGGTTTGGTTAACATTCGAGTTTGAAAAAATATTGTTATAAATTGGTAAAAACGTACATTTTTAAATATAACACTATCCAAAATCTAGAATTCATACCAGAAATATTCGAATTTGGTAAATGGTCATACTAAATTTGTAGAAATATATGTTGTCAGATATAACACAATCTAAAACCCAGATTTTATACCAGACCCATTGATTAGTATTCGAATTTGGTGAAACTTTGTGGTAAATTGGTAAAATCATATATTTTTAAATATAACACGATCTAAAATCCAGATTTTATACCAGATGCCAATGATTAGTATTCAAATTTGAAATTTGTGGTAAACTGGTAAAAACATAAAATTTCAAATATAGCACGATATAGAATTCAGATTTCATACGAGATCCCATTGATTAATAATCGAAAAATTCATACCAGATTACTACTCGAATTTAGAGAAATATCATGGTAAATTGGCATGATACCAACCATATATCTTCAAATATAACACGAACTAACATTCCGATTTTATACCAGATTCAATTGGTTAATATTCGAATTTGGTAAATTATCGTGATTAATTAGTAAAAACATATATTTCCAAATATAATTCGATTTGAAATCTAGATTTCATACAAAATTCGAATTTGTTATAGTATTGAGGTAAATTGGTAAAACATGTTTTGATGTATCAAAGTTAACAAGTCATTTTTTAAATTGAAACTAAGCCAAAACAAATTAGTATTTGATAAAATTGGTAAAATTTCTAATTATTTGTTTGTACCATATAGAGAAATTTATAATATTCTTTAAAAAAAATACTATACAATTTTCATAAAAGCATTTAGAGTCTAAATTCAGGACGAAAAATCGTTGAATCATTGTTTATAAATTATAAAAAAATTTAAATGTTTTATTAATTGTTATTATCGAACAATCTGTATCATTATTGTTATTATTATTATATTGCAATAAAAACAATTATAATTATTATATCTGTGATTATCAATAGGGATGTTTTGGTTTATTCGATTTCGTAACTATTCACGTAACACCGCCCATCATACGCCCACTTGCGAACAAATTTTGATCCATCGAACGAATTAGTTTAAGATTAAATTACCTTATGCAAATTTGTAGTACCATGAAAATAAATTACAGAGTTGATAAATATAGAACTAACAAATATATCTTTAATCTTAAAATATCACGTGGATTTTCTGATTAATTTTATTTTTATTTGTTTCAGGTCAGGGTGATCAAGTTGCAAGAGTTAGAAGAATAGATGAGTATGACAGGGTGAATATCGGAGATGATGTTGAACAGAATTCGTTCTTATTAGATTTGCCCATAGGATTATTAACGCCGATTGATCAAGATCCAAAAGCACAATTATGCAATGGATCTTGCAAACATGATGAATTTATATGCGACAAGACTTGCGCCTGCATCAAAGCCGATTTGAGGTAAGGAATAGAATTATTTTAATTCCATAATCAAACTTTCTAATTTTAATCCTATTCTTAAAATTAAATTTATTTAATTTTTTATAAATTAATTTTTTTTTCAAGTTACAATATTTTATCCAACAATACTCCTTAACTGTACTGTGAATACATATTGCCAATTAAATGTGAATTTAAAATTTTCATAAATAATCTTTCATTGTAATTATATTCACTTTTCTAAGTTACTTAACTTAAATTACTAATTAAGAAAATGATTCAAATTCCATTCTATTATCATTCACAATAAAAAAAATTTTATCGCTGATTGTAGTTCTAGTTTTATATCTTACTTTTATTACCCTAGTTCATGAATAAATTGATTTAATGTAACAAGAAGGCAGATAATCAAATAATTACTGATAAAATTATAGAAATAAAGAAGTAATTAAGCCTAACTATTGTACGATTTTATATTACATATTGGATTTTTACGTAACCAACGTGTCATTTACATAACAAACATAGTATTTGTCTTATGGAGTTTGCAGGAAAAATATTGCTGATAAATTATCGTGGTGAACATTTACGTAATATCGTTATATAAAATTTCATATCTATTTTTCTGAATTGTCTTTATTGATCTGCAAGTTCGTTTATGTGTCATATATTGTTAATTTTAAATTACGGTAAAAGATACAGCATTGATGATAAGAAGTTTCTTATAGTTTTGATGAAATAAAGATTGATCTCTGGTATATTAGATAATATATATATATATATATATATATATATATATATATATATGAGTAAGTTCTTGTAAGGCGATTCATCAAAGAATAAAAAAAAACATAGATTTATAAATTAATCCTTAATTCCAAACGTTTCGACATTCAATTTAATGTCATCAGCAGTGGATTTTAAACAGTGTAAAAATTAATATAACCTGGTAATTATAAGATGAAATTATAAGAGGTTCGTATAATTACCTGGTTATATTAATTTTTACACTGTTTTTAGATGCACTGATGATGACATAGAATTGAATGTCGAAACGTTTAGAATTAAAGATTAATTTATAAATCTTTGTTTTTTTATTCTTTGACGTATCGTCCTACAAGAACATACTCATATTTCTCAATATCAAAAATAACTACTAAATCATATATATATCTATAATTGGACCTTTGTGCTTTATTTTACCCTACCAAAAAAATGGTTCTACCACAAAAGTTATGTAACCATTAAATTTAAGTTAATTACACAATAATCCAAAATAAGTACAAGGGCAAAAAATCATTATTTAGGGAAAAATTTTAAATATCAATTTATCTCTATGTTACTGTTCCCAATAATCTGTGGTTAGTACATTAGAACTATCAATGACTTCCTGAAATGCAAATTTTAAAATCAAACAAATACAGTAGTTGTTATTATAAAAAAGATGATTACATTTGAATTGAGTTGAGTGTGGAAATTGAGACTCATTATTTTTGTCATTTAACACAGTTTAACGCTTATAATGATGTACATACATATCTACATGGTATAGAAAGTAATAGCAATAAATATTATGAAAAACATTAATAATGACTTATCAAAACGATCTATAATATACAAGACAATGTATGTACAGGACAACGTCGGCCGGGTCAACTAGTATATATATATATATATATATATATATATATATATATATTTATATATATATTTATATATATTATGCGTGTGTGAATATAAAACCAAATATAAAAGCAAAAAAATTGGGCATTTTCAAAATTGTCAATTTTTTTAAATTGGCAAATTTGGGAATTTTCCGATGCGTGAAAATCTATGATGGGCAAAACTTTTCCAAAAATTAATTGCACCATTCGACAGCAAAAAAATCACTGATAACGACAGTAAAGAGAAATTTTAACTTTTTTGCATTCTTAAAGGAGTCGGTGCTGACCATACATATAGTTAGCACCGAATTTGACCCCACCCATTTATCTCGAGAACGGAAAGAGCAAAAAAATTTTAGTTTTCACCAATCGACAGCAAAAAAATCGTCAAAAAATCAGGTCATATCAGTTTTGCCAATTTCCACCATCGCGGTGCCAAGTATATTCACGTATATTTAGACGGTATATAAAATAATGGTAATACATTTTATAAAAAAACGTTAATAATAACTTATCAAACCGATCTATATTACACAGGACGACGTGTATACAAGACGACGTCTATCTAGTATAAATATATTACGAATATGTTTGAATATAAAATCTGAATATGGAATATAAAATATGAATATGTTAATTTGTTTCTCAGATGTGATGGAGAAATTGATTGTGAAGCCGGAGAAGACGAGTCCGAGTGCGGAAGCTCAGAGGAATCCTTGTCGGGCGGCTTCTTGGGCCCTCGAGGCCGCTGCGATGAGGCCGATGATAAAATCCGGTGCCCGTTGTCCGGACGGTGCATTTTGAAAGACTGGCTTTGCGACGGGGATGACGATTGCGGGGATTTTTCCGACGAAACGCATTGCGGTGAGAAAATTAATTTAATTTTTCAACTAACGAATTATTAAATAAATTAATAAATAGTTCTCGCAAATGCTTGTATAATTACATAAATAAAAATTTCTTTTTTCAGGGACCAGTTACAACTGTACATCCGATCAATTCGAATGCGCCAATGGTTTATGCATTCAACAAAGCTGGGTTTGCGACAACGACAACGACTGCAAAGATTACTCCGACGAAATCAATTGCAACAAAGCAGAGTACGTATTCGATAATAACAACACGTATTAAAGTATCCATTCTCAACGTATAAAAAATTCACAGGTGTTCTAAGGAGCAATTCCATTGCGGAGATGATTCCTGTATATCATTAGCTTGGCAATGTGACGGCCAAGCTGATTGTATCGATGGGTCGGATGAACATAAATGCGGTACTTAAAACAATTTTTGATAATTATTTGATTTTGCTACAGATTTTATATTTATTGTTTTTTAATAGAAAAACCTTTGATCGAGTGTGGGGAAGGAGAATTCAAGTGTGGTGGTCGAAGTAGTGTCAAGTGCGTCAAAGCCCGATTCAGATGCGATGGGGACAATGATTGTGGGGATTGGAGTGATGAGGCTGAGTGCCCCAGGCCGACGGCGATCACCGGATCTGTTTGTGTCGTTGGAGAATTCAAGTGAGAGGAAATAATTTTATTCAGAGAATCACTTTTAAACAAAACAACATGAGTTTGTATACAATATTTGAGGCATAACAAATCAGAACCTGAAACATTGATCAGTATTATTTTGGAACTATAGAAGTTTAGCTATAGAAGCTTTCGAAATCGTTGAATCTCTAAGTCAAATAATATTACATAACTGAATTACTTGATGAAGAATTCAATTTGTATATATATATTTAAAACAATTTGGAAGCGTTTCAAAACGTCTAATAAAATAATTATATTTTTAAATTCTCATGGTTTCACTGATTGTTACGTTTATAAATTATTATTTTATAATGTTTATTGCCAAAATTAAATATTTTGCCTTTTTTATCAGATGTAATGACAACATGTGCGTTCCTGATCGATGGCGTTGTGATAAACAAAAGGATTGTAAAGGAGGTGAGGACGAAGTTGGCTGTGATGTTGAATATTCAAGAACATGTTCTCCTGAGGAATTTTCTTGCAACGATGGAAGATGCATTTTGGTAAATAATTGTCAATTTTTAATTCCTTTTCCTTGAATAAAAAATACTAAAAAGTAAACTAGTAATCTAGGGATAGAAAGAATTTTTGTCCTGTCATTTATTTTTTCTTCACTATTTTAGCGAACTTGGGTCTGTGACGGTGTTGCCGATTGCTCCCAAGGAGAAGACGAAAGTAAATGCATAGTAACCTGCGAAGACGGCCAATTCACATGCCAAGCAGTATCCAATACAACTAGTCCCATTAACACAGCAAATAGGTAAACTCATATAACATTTTATATATACATTATCTGTACTTGTACATCTGTAAGTAAAATATTTATTTCACAGATTGTGCGTTGCTCGGAAACATGTCTGCGATGGTCAGAAAGATTGTCCGAGAGGCGATGATGAATTGTCATGTCCAAGAAGACGCACCTGTGAAGCTAAATCGCCTTGTGAGCAACTTTGCATTACGACTTTTGATGGCAAAAATGAATGTAGTTGTCATGCAGGCTACAAATTGGGATCAGATGGACACAGGTAAATAAAATCCGTAAATTATCTCATGTAACCCAAACCGATACGCCAAGATATCAGAAAAGATAGTAATTTTACTTTGTTACTCATAATTTTCTTTTTTTAGTTGTTTAGATATAGATGAATGCCTTTACCAATCCGATCCGGTTTGTTCGCAAACATGCAACAATACCATTGGATCTTTCATATGCGGCTGCATGACTGGTTATATTTTGAGACCTGATCTTAGAACGTGCAAAGCAATGGGAGCTCCTCCGACTTTACTATTTGCCAACAGGCAAGATATCCGGCAGGTAAACAAAACAAGCAATTGGTTGTTCTAATTATTTTTTCTAAACATTCTTTATATTTAAGGTTTCATTGAGTAATAATAAGTACACGGCGATACTAAAAGGACTGCATAATGCAATCGCCTTGGATTATCATTACAAGAAAAATATTGTGATATGGTCAGATGTGGCCAGTGATATTATAAAAGGAGCCTACATGAATGGAACAGGGATTAGAGGTTAATTTACAATGAAATGTAGTGTACGCATCACTCTAAAAATTCTATAAATTATCAGATATTGTTAAATGGGGAATGGAGTCTCCAGGAGGTGTCGCTGTTGATTGGATACATGACCTAATATTTTGGACGGACTCCGGCACGAGACGTGTTGAAGTTGCCAATTTGGATGGAAGCCAACGTGCGGTCATTGTCGCAAATGATTTGGATAAACCGAGAGCCATTGCTGTACATCCAGGCGAAGCAATGGTATTTTGGACAGACTGGGGTAATTATAATAATTATTTAATAAAATAAAATAATTTCTACGTATTTGATACAAATATTCTATCTGTTCTTCAGGACCTTCTCCAAAAATAGAACGTTGTGAGATGGATGGCTCCTCCAGAAGTAGTATAATAACAGAATCAATTTTCTGGCCCAATGGACTAACATTAGACTACACCACAAGCAAAATATACTGGGCGGATGCTAAGCATCATGTTATAGAATGTTCCTATTTTGATGGCAGTGAAAGAAAGAAGATCATGAGTAAAGGGCTGCCACATCCATTTGCAATAACCATGTTTGAAGATGCAATTTACTGGACTGATTGGCACACTAAAAGCATATCGACTGCAAATAAAGCAACAGGAGCTGGTCTAAGAACAGTGCATGCGGGTTTGCACTTTCCAATGGATATTCATAGGTACGTACTATTATATAAAAATATTTGAATTGCATTTGAAATAAAGTTTTATATTAAACTTTGAAGTTACCATTCCCAACGACAACCTGAGTACAACTCCCGATGTCCAGGAAATCTAGGCGGTTGTTCACACATGTGCCTTCCTAATCGGAAAGGAAGAACCTGCGTTTGTCCAATCGGAAGGAGTTTACTAAAGGATGGGTAAATATACAAACTTCAATACCTCACTTTTTATTTGCTTTATATTAACCCTTAAATTCTTTCTATTATAGGAAAACATGTTCTAATATCGCTGATAATTTACTGTTATTCGCAAGAAAAAAAGATATTAGAATACGCCAGTTGCGTCAGGTGCCTTCCGCGTTAGATGTTGATATGGTAAGAGCGTTAAATAATTTTATTGTTAATAATAATATATATTATTAATGAAATATATGAATTTTCAGGTTGTTCCCGTAGACGGAATAAAATCTGCAGTAGCCCTAGCATGGGACTCAAAAACTGAATCCATATTTTGGTCTGATGTCGACCAAGATTCAATTAGTTCTGCTCACTTGAATGGCAGTAATCAGAAAGTTATTGTGCGAGCTAATTTAAGTATGTGGAAAATTAACACACTACAAATATATAATGAAGTTTTTCTCTTCTGAGATTAAAATTGTATTTTTTGTTGAATAGTTTCTCCAGCCGGCTTGGCCTTAGATTGGCTCACAAATAAAATTTATTGGACAGACGCTGGAACTAACAGAATAGAAGTAGCAGACATCGAAGATGGTAAACGGTCACTTCTTGTTTGGGACAATTTAGACAAACCACGAGATATTGTTGTTGATCCACCAAGTATGATAATTTCACAAATTTTAGATAATGCATAGTTATCAAAATTCTAATTAATTTGAAATATATTTTTGTAATAGCCGGGTATATGTATTGGTCTGATTGGGGTCCAAATCACAAAGTCGAGAGGTCTGCAATGGATGGCAGCCAACGTAAAATAATTATTTCAGAAAATCTCACATGGCCAAATGGTTTGGCTATTGATCACGATATGGGGCGAATTTATTGGGCCGATGGAGGGACAAAGAAGATCGAATATGCTAAAATGGACGGGAGTGGCAGAACTGTACTTCTGGGTATGTAAAATAATATATAAAATAATAATGGTAAAAATTATGTGTGAATTGCTTGTATTTGAAATTGTATTTAATTTCAGAATCAAGTTTGCAGCATCCATTTGGATTAGATGTTTTCAAGAGCAACGTATTTTGGACTGATTGGGAATCTTATAACATAGAGAGTGCACATAAATCAACGGGTGAGTGAAATCCAAATTTTGTTATAATATACAACTAGATTAATTTAACATTGAGTCTAAAATGTTTTTTTTTTCAGGGAGAAATCGAAAAATAATTCGTGCCAATTTATCTGGACTAATGGATGTACGGATATATCACAGAGAAAGAAAATATATGAAAACAAAATGTTCTCAAAATAATGGTGGATGCGCACATCTTTGTCTACTTAAACCAAATAACGAACATAGCTGTTCTTGTCCTATTGGAATTAGGCCATTGGTAATACCGTTAATTAATTTTTAAATAAAACACGATCTTGTTTAATATAAGTCATATTTTTATCTTACGAGCAGAGTAATGGCAAAGAATGTGCTGAACATCCAGAAACATTTTTATTAATGGCACATCGTGTAGATATAAGAAGAATTTCTTTAGATGTTGAATATATTGTTGATTTTGTTCTTCCTCTCCCTGCATTAAAAAGAGCAGTTGCACTAGATGTGGACAGAACAACAGGTAACAAATTATTTTATTAACCTAATCAGTATTTTCAGAAAAAATATAAATTTTGTAAATTACTTTTATTTTTAGGTGACGTTTATTGGACTGATTCCTCAGAGGATGTTATTCACAAAAGTGATGAAAACTTCAAATCGATGGAAGCTATTATCAAAGATGGTTTGGACAATCCAGATGGTTTAGCTATAGATAGCAGCGGTAGAAAGGTAAAACTTATTGAAGATTTATTTATAATAATACCAACAAATAATTAATCGCGTAAAATCACTAATATTATTCTGAATTTAAGATGTACTGGACCGATTCAGCAAGACACAGTATAGAAGTGAGCGAACTAGATGGATCAAACAGAAAAGTATTAATTTCATCAGATTTAGAATCGCCGAGAGCTATAGTTCTTCATTACAAACTTGGTCTAATGTTTTGGTCTGATTGGGGCCAAAATGCAGCAATAGAAGTTGCTGATATGGATGGATCTAATCGGTAAATCTTGGGACAATCATAAATCAACTTTTTGAATTTTTTATATAAATTTAATAATTATCAATTTTCATTATAGTCGTAAGTTGATCTCTCGGGGTCTAGTCTGGCCCAATGGTCTTGCCTTAGACTACGAGGAAAATAGGCTTTATTGGACAGATGGTCGAAATAAATTGATAGAGTCTTGTGATTTGGATGGAAGAAATAGAAAAACAGTTTTGGAAGTGTTACATCCTTATGGAATTGTCATATTTGGTATGTGAAATCGAAAATTAATATTTCATGGATATAGAATTTTTTTATAATATTTTGTATATGCTTTCAGAAAATTACATGTACTGGACTGACTGGAAAACAAAATCAGTGCACAGAGCAAATAAGCATGATGGTTCAAATGCGACTGTATTGCGCGATAAATTGGAAGGACTAATGTCATTAGTAGCTATTAAGGTATACAGAGAACAATTAATTAATCATCCAGTTTATATCTGAACATAATTTATTTCATTTCCATTGTTTGGTTATGATTATTTTATAGAAAGGAGTTGATGTTCCCGAAAATGCTTGTGGTACAAATAACGGTGGTTGTTCGAATTTGTGTTTAAGAAATTCTAAAGGTTTCTCATGTGCCTGTCCTACTGGTGTTATGATGATGAATGATAGTAAAACCCAATGTCGTCAGCTACCAGAAGTAAGATCAAATAATAATTATTAAATAATTCAATTCCAAGGGAATTTTAAAATATTTTTATTATAATTTCAGAGATACTTATTATTTACAACCCGTTCGTCTTTATCGCGAATTTCATTAGATACGACTGAAATATTTGATTACACTTTGCCAGTGCCCGACCTACACAACGCAATTGCTTTAGATTTTCACAGAAAGAAAGATCTTGTATACTACACAGATGTGCTGCAAGATATAATAAAGTAAGACTTAATATATTTTAAAAATTAGGTAAGTAACTTTGATAAAATTAATCTAATGTGTTCTTCTAATATTTTAGAAGCGTAAATGTTAAAAATCTAAGTGAATCCAAAACAGTTATTCAGTTTAGGCTTAACACACCAAATGGACTGGCTGTAGATTGGATTGCAGATAATATATATTGGACAGATTATGAACTAAAGGTAAGTTTAAATAAACCTGACCTGAATTTCTTTCAAATACTCGCCCTTGGGCAAATTTATTTTAATCGAAAATCGATCATTTTTAGGTTCTCGAAGTGGCACGTTTTGATGGCACTTGTAGGAAAACAATTATAAATAAAATGTTGGATGAACCGAGAGCTCTAGCACTATTCCCAATGAAAGGGTTGGTTTATTAATAAAAAAAACTATATATAATAAAAATTATTGCATAATGAAAATAAATTTTATATTTCGTTATAGATTCATATTTTGGTCAGATTGGGGCGATGTTCCCAAAATAGAACGAGCATCTTTAGACGGAACTAATAGAAAAGTTATAGTAAGTGGAAATATGGGATATGCACATGGATTGGTAATAGATTACAGGTATTTTGGATAAAGCATTTTTTTCATTTTTGATTATCAAATATAAACAATTTTATAATTTTTTAGTACCAAGAAATTATATTGGGCCGACACGTTAAAAGATCGTATAGAGTGTGCTGATCTTAATGGTAATAATCGTACCACAATTATTCAAGAAGCAAAGCATCCATTTGGAGTAACACTGGTATAATTATTTTTAAATACGTGATAAACATAATTATGCAGATAAATTGTTTATCTTGATTTTAGCTCGGACAATATATCTTCTGGACGAACTGGTTCAAGAAAATGATTATGCGTGCAGATAAGCGTACCGGCCAAGGAATTATTACTTTTAAATCTGATCTTGTAGGAGCCATGGAAATTTTAGCAATAACACCGGAATCCCAAACTGGCTGGAATCCATGTGCCGAAAATAATGGTTATTGCACACATTTATGTTTATTCCGATCGTGGAAAGAAGGCTACTTTTGTGCTTGCCCGGATGAAGCCGATGGAAAACCGTGCTTTTTGGGTAAGAAACTAATATTTTTCATGATGGTTAAAAAATAGACTTTGTATGTATATCTTTAATAAAGAACCCAAAGAACGAGTGAAGTCCAGAGCTGGTGAGATTGGCACTGAATACTTTGATGAACCAGATGAAGTAGCAGAGTCAACACATCATGGTAAACTCGATTCTTTATCAAAAACTTCTCACACTTCTGGAAGTGGACTTCTAACTCACGGCATGAAAGGACGTCTAACTGGGGTCAATTCTACAGCAGTGCTTATAGCTACAGCTGTTTTGGGTTTGCTACTTCTGGCCGTAGTTGTTATCATCATTGGTATGAAAATATTACCTTACTATTTATAATATAGATGCAATAAAGCATTATCAATAGTGTTTAATTATATCTTCGTCACAGTAATCATGTTTAATAAGAAAAAGATGAACGATAAACATAAATTTGGCTCCGGTCGAAATATCCTCACATTCTCTAACCCTAACTACAGCGTAAATACATCCGCTAACTCTTCCAAAACTAATAACGGTTCAGAGAAGAAAATGGCCTTATGGAAACGTATTAAATACGATAAAAATCAAGTACGTCCTAACTAAAATTTTAATAAAGTCAAATATAGTTTTCAATGTCTTTCCTAACTGATTATCTTTTATTACAGGACCGTGTATACGAAGACAAATCTTCAACGAATTCCCCAGAAGGAACTAGCTTAATTCCTGGTAGATCTCGATCTCCAGCGTCCTCACCAGGCGACCCTTCCAAAAGAATCAACATTAGTTCAATTGACGAAATATGCCAAATGCAGAGTATCCCATTATAAGAAAAATGTGTAAATGGTATAAAAATATTAATAGATCGGCTATAATCCAGATTAATGTCGAGGGTATGAAAGGATTCGTTGAATTTCATCCATAAGAAAACACGTATCAAACTAATCTCAAATATGCATTTACAAATCGTTCCGGCCTTACGTCAATTTGGGTTGTAGTCGTAAATATATTTTGTATGAATAGAACTTGTAAATTTATTATCATGTTAAAAACACAAAGTTATTATATATGAAATCAATTATATTTGCAAATGTATATTATTAATTATATGTAAAATGTGTAACATTTGGCGTAAGAAATTTTGAATGATATGAAATGATATATGAATGATGTTATCAAAATTTATTTAATAAATATTTGAATGAACAAATTTTATCATTTTGTTTACGATTTAATAAACTTTAATTACAAAATTAAATATAAAATTTGTAACATGGAATTTTCTAATTTAATTTGTATATACTATATTTACAAAATTTTAACTACTATAATTAATAAGCGTCTTGTTAATCGTCACTTGTGATGTAGTACATAAATTTCTTTGAATACTCGTAAGTTACAAATAGCACTGGTGTAACCGGAATTGTTCTAATAATAGTTGGTTTTAGACCATTGTACAAAGCTGTAAAACCTGCAAAACCAAGTCATCTTCAGAAAAGTATATAGGCTAAATATAATTATATATTCACTGTATAGCGTACCGTCTTTTCTAACAATATCCATTCCAACTTTAAACATGTTGTCTTTAGAACCAGTAATTTGTACTCTAGATTTAATAACATCTATTGGAAAAATTGCAGTCCACAACGTAATACCTCCTACCGAACCTGCAATCATTGTCTTAAAAATGCCAATATCGTCCTTGGTCTGACCTGGTTTTGTAAACATTTCCCTGGTGAACTCGTAACCACCGAAAAAGCAAAAATAACCAGGCATCTCTCTAGCTATCGTAGGTCCTAAACCATTAAATAGGCCACGAATTCCATGTTCACTAATAATTGATTTAGTCAAATTAATCGGGCCGATTTTACTGCCGCCGACTTCTACCACAGAAGCTTCCTTTATTGCTTGCAATTGGCACTTTACCAATTCTATTGGACATAATGAAAATGATACGAAAAATGCTGCCAAGCAACCTGCACTTGCATTACTAAATGCATTTAAAGTCGTCACATCTTTATGGCCGGTTAAATATGCAATCATTTTAATGTGAATAAAATGAACGGACCATTCTACAAAAAACTGGAATCAAGCGATAGCACTCGAGCTGATGTCAATCCTTTTGTACGTATAGTCATTTTTTATAAGTTTTATACGTAATGAAAATTTTTATATATCTTTACGTTCAAAGATTTCTGAATATTTTGGCATACCTTAGAAATAATGGATGTATGTGTGTGTGTGAGTGTGTGTGCGGATACAAATTTTCGTCGGAACACGGATCAAGCGATTTGAATAATTAAAAAAACATTCGATTCTTATTGATGAGGAGACGTGTTGATTAGTTTTTGGCAAAAGCAGGTCTAGCCGTTCTGAAGATACGGGGCAAAAAGTGCCAAAAACGGAAACTCAGTTTTTAAAAGAACGGAGCGTCCGATTTTAATAATTCAAAAAACATTTTACTTGTATTGACAAGATGAAATACTAATTAAATTTTTGGGAAGGCAGGTCCAGCGGTTATGGACTCTCAATAAAAATAAGTTAAAAAAATGTCATTTGGCGGTCAAAAATGTTTATTGAACATATGTACTGATATTTCATAGAGATTTTAATAATGTGTACACATTTTGTGTATTTTTTTTTTGGGTTCCGTACCAAGATTTTTAATTACGGTACGGGAAGACCCAGCAATTTGCATTAAGGCACGATGCCATGCACCCCACTAGTTTAAATTTCTTTACTTTACTATTTAATAGAATAATATTTAGTGTTAGTGGTTACCATTACATTATTTAAAATAATATTAAATCCCTAAAACCTTAGAAACATCTTATATCCTTTACAACTTTCTCATGAAATACAAGTTTATAAAATTAATTTGCATATTGCATAAACAATATAAAAAAAATTAAAATAAAAATATATAAATACCTAAAGATCCAGCTATAAAATCTATACAGCCATCCTTGAAATTACTGCTTTTTTCTTTGGATTTTTCCATTATCACTACTATTTCATCACTTTTTACACTTCCAATAAATAATCAATATATTTACACTAAATTATACGGCCGGCGTACACATGATTACCTAATATACACAAAATAAAGTTTACACATATTTTTTTAACATCTTTGGCTAAAATAATGAATTAAAATGAATTTATATAAATTTTAAAACCATGCATTATTTTGAGGTTATCTCTTGCCATGGTCGAGTTAAAAATGATCTTCTGTCTATATATTTCAAGTGAGAATTATTAGATGGCGCAAATAAAAATTATTACCATTGAAAGAAAACTGGCAATTGTAGGTTTACTTATTTGAAAATAAGTATTATTTTTTATAATAAGAAAACAATATTTTTTGGAAAACCGTAAAGATTTCCGTATCCTGTAGTCTATATTTTTACACCAATCACATATTCCAATTGGATTCTGTTTATTCTTATTGAATTCCAAAGAACATTTGCTTTGAAATTTATTTGCTAGTTATATTTAATTGTAGAATTATATGTGAATGTTTTGATGTTCAGAAATCATTTACTAAAATAATATAGTTGTATCTAATACAAATCTTGATTGTATATTTTTTTCCCAATCACATATTCCAATTAGATTCTGTTTATTCTTATTGAATTTCAAGGAACATTTACTTCGAAAATTTTTACTAGTTATATTTAATTGTAGAATTATATTTGAATGTTCTGATGTTTCAGAAATCATTTACTAAAATAATATTGTTGTATCTAATACATATCTTGATTGTATATTTTTTCCCAAACACATGTTCCAATTAGATTCCGTATATCCTTATTGAATTTCAAGGAACATTTACTTCGAAATTTTTTGTTACTAGTTATATTTATTTGTAGAATTTAATGTGAATGTTTTGATGTTCAGAAATCATTAACTAAAATAATATTGTTGTATTTAATTCAAATCTTGAATGTATATTTTTCCACCAATCACATATTCCAATTAAATTCCGGTTATTCTTATTGAATTTCAAGGAACATTTACTTTTAAAAAAAAATCTTTACTAGATATATTTAATTGTAAAATTATATATGAATGCTTTGATGTTCAGAAATTATTTATTAAAATAATATTGTTGTATCTAATACAAATCTTGATTGTATATTTTTTCCCAATCACATATTCCAATTAGATTCCAGTTATCCTTATTGAGTCTCCAGGAACATTTAATTTGTGTTCAGATGGTCAGAAATCATTCAGCAATATAATATTGTTGTATGAAATTCAAATCTTTATTGTATATTTTTCCCTATCACATATTCCAATTAGATTCCATTTATCCTTATTGAATTTCAAGGAACATTTACTTCGAAATTTTTTGTCTACAAGTTATATAATTGTAGAATTATATTTGAATGCATTGATGTTCAGAAATTATTTATTATTAGAAATAATATTGTTGTATTTAATTCAAATATTCATTGCATATTTTTCCCCCAAGCACATATTTCAATTAGATTCTGTTTATCCTTATTGAGTCTCCAGGAATATGTAATTTAAATAATATTCTTTAAAAGCTATATTTTATTATAGAATTATATGTGAATATTTTGATGTTCTAAAAATCATGTCTAAAGAAATATTGTTGTATCTAATACAAATTTTGATTGTATATTTTTTCCCCAATCACATATTCCAATTAGATTCAGGTTATCCTTATAAGAATAACAATATAAGGATAACAATATATTGAGTCTCCAGGAATATTTAATTTGAAAAATAATCTTCAAAAGCTCTATTTTATCATAGAATTATATGCAAATGTTCTGATGTTCAGAAATCATTCAACAATATATTGTTGGACTTATACAATAGGTATAAGTGGATCCAATTGGAACTATAATAAAGATTTGAATTTGATACAACAATATTAAATATAACATTATATGTAATATAATACAACATATTATATATAATATTGTTGTGTTAAATTCAAATCTTTATTACAGTTCAAATTAGATTCCACTTATACCTATTGTATCTCCAGGAATATTCAAAATAATATTCTTTACAAATTCTATTGCTAGTGACCAAGTTTATATGATAATGCATAACAAAGAATTTTCATATTATGTTTTGTAATTTAAAATATATCTTTGTCATCAATGCAATTCAAAGAAATCATATTTTTATGTGTTATGTGACACCAATGAACGACATATGACCCTTTACGTCGTAATTTTCTCAAAGTGTTAAATAAATAAATACATGAACCAGATTTTTTATAATAATTTCTCAAGCATGATATAATGGACTTTGCTCTTACCGAAGGAGAATATAAAAAATTAATCAATTTTGCTAAAAAAAAAATACATGAAAATATATTTTCATAATTGGTTTTAACTAACTTTACTAATAAACAGTTGCATGTTGTTCTCAAAAAGTTATTAAAACATGAACAAAAGGTTATATAAGTTTTATTTAAGAATCATTAAAGTCTAATACATATGTTGTTTTTATAATGCTTATATTAAACCAACTATAACTACTTAAAATTAATCAGTAAAAACGTATTTCATTAAGTTTATGAATATGTGTTTAATTCCTATCACTATATCTAAAAAATTTAAAATAATACTTTAATTCATAAAATACCATATCGATTAAAATTCAAAAGGAATAAAAGATCATAAACATCACGAAGCAAAGCTTGTGAATATTTAAAAAAATCATTTCATTACTGTTTAATTCATAAACAGCAAGTGTAAAGTGCAGCATTGTTTAAAGACGTGAATAACCAATAGTTAGTTACTGATAAGAAATCAGTTGAAAACTAATTATTCAATCTTTATTTTCAGAATGCACGTGCCTTGTAGATGGATCTTCTAGGCCGATCTCCATCCACAGTTGGAGCATTTTTCTGTCTCCAATGGCAGCAACAAAGTATTCCAATGGGAATAAAACCAGAGCACAGCAAATTCCACAAAAAGTATAATTATTTTTTAATTCGCCAACTCTGCAAGATGGACATTGACCCAAAACAAGAGGTCCTCCGCCTGATATTTGGTTAAGAGTTATAGAAGCAGGTACAGGAGCTGGTTGTTGCTGCTGAAAAGTAGATAATATATCTAGTAGCCGCCTTCAAAAATAAGATGACATGGAAATATATAAATATAAATAAATTTGCACATTGTAGAAGAGCACAAAAACTAATCACATCTTGCAAACAGTTTTTTATTTTTTAAAATCAAACAAGAAATTGGCTTACATACCCACACCCACTTCACACATACTTTTTCCAATGTTGGTGTCAAACGATTTAAAATAGTTTGAAACGTCTACTCAAAATTATCGAATCGCACTTTCTGGTTAAAACAAATTTCTTCGTTAGAAAAATAAAAACTATGTAAATATTAAACATTATAGAGATAAACCACAATTGCTCAAATAAATACATTAAAAGATTATATTTTTAGTTAACATTCAGTTGGATTCTGCGAAATGTTTTTATCCGACCGGACACGAGCAATTTCCGATATAGATAAAATCGCTAAAATTGATCGAAAAATTTGTTGATCAATATTTAACATATAAAAATAATGTAATACCATTATTTAAGCTAAGAATATTTATATTTCTAATAAACTTAAACCTTATCGTTCAACATCGATTTTGGAACCCTTTGGAGAGTTACGTAATAATAGAAGCCAAATTAAACTTTAAATAAATAAAAATATTATATTATATTCTGAGTAAATATTTTTTAAAATATATATTATTACTAATAATAATGATGGTATTTATGTATAACAAAGCGCATAATTTTAAATGAGAAGATTTTTGTGTTTTATGTTACGTTTGTGTATTATGCATACATAACACATTTCAAGCGGGGAATCCCAAAATTCTGTATTCTAACAATAAGGGAACGCCTCAGACCGGGAAGAATTTGCATATATAAATGAGAAAAATATAAGCAAAAATTTAGTTTTTTGGGTTTAAAATTTTATGTTGTTATTACTTGATCGTAAATGAACTGCTATTTTAAAATATTTAGCTATACCTAATTAATTCATAGTCAAATTTTAGTACTAAGAACTCGAATATTAGTTAGATATAGGATCGTATATTTAAATACGTATAAAATAAACTATTATTGTAGGCGTCTGGTTTAATTGTTGGGGAAAACCATCTATGTATGCTGGGGGCGCACTTGAAACTTGATGCACTGGTGGATAGTATTTATTCATATTGTGTGATTCTGATTCCATTTTTATTAAAAATGTCAAATGCTATTATAAACTTTATTAAAGTTATAAATCTAAATAAAACTGAAGCACTCACACTTAAGCTTACGTTAGGTCAACGTATTGTAATACAATAACTCTTCAGATAGCAGAATCCTTATCTTAGTTTGAAAAAAAATTGCAAAGCAAAATAAATATGAGATTGGATAAGGAAGAAAACCGACTTAACGGCGCGATGTGATGGCGCTAAGTTTAAATCCGTTAATATATCAAATAGAATACAAAACTCAAATTTTGTACGGAAACTTTTATAACATGTTATGATTGTATGTAAAATATTTATTAGTAAAATATTTTATTAGTAAAATATTTACAACTTGAAGACTTTACTGTGAATAAAGATTTTCATATTTGGCGGTTGGCGCTGTTGGCAAATTAGTTTGATCAAAAATCACCAGTGGCGCTTTTGCATAATTCTCCGTGTGGGTAGTTGGCAGCATTGTAAAAAGCACGTGCATTAGCTATTACTTCACAATATACAGTCGAAACTGGAACCTTAACCTGCAAAGTATAAAACGCGTTGAATAAATAAACTTAAAATCTACGAGTTATTTATTGTACATACGAATTTATAAATCAAGAGCAAAATTTATATAATCCACCATGTATCTCATGTACTATCTCAATGAAAATGGAAAGCGAATGTATACACTCAAGGTAAGCTCTACAAAGTTTTATTAAATTAGTCAATATGCCTGAATAAATAATAATTCTGTATTATTATTCGTAGAAAGTGGACCCTGCAGGAAACCCTACGTTATCAGCTCACCCAGGTATAACACGTGCTTTATTTTATTTGTACTATATTATAATTTGTATTAACTTCCAATAACGTCATTTCTTTTCGTCTTTCATTTCTCTACAGCTCGATTTTCACCAGAGGACAAATATTCGCGACAACGAATAACTATTAAGAAAAGATTTAACCTTTTGGTCACCCAACAACCTGAGCCTGTATATTGAATTATTTTACCCCACTTTTATATTGATACTGTATTAAGATTGATTTTTATGTAATGAAAGAAACGAATAATATAAAATTTATTTACTTATAGAAATATATACATTTTATTAGTTTAATAAAATAGATTTAAATACATATGCAAAAAGTATCTAACAAGATATGTTTGCTTAACACTGTAAGATCTTTTTTTTTTAATAACTTAGTTTCATAAATGTGGATACAATAACTCATAATTTAACAATGTAACACTCCAAGTATCTGCATAAACTGATTAATAATCTTTCTATCATAATAAAGAAGTATTAACCACAATAAATTAAAACAAATGTCATGCAAAAATTCAGTGCAAAGAATCGTTAAGTTACCATTAATTTATCAATAATCACAAGATTCGTATGTTGTTTGTGATGTACATTTAGAATCTAGCATTTCATATATCTACATTATATTTACATAATATGCACATTATGAATCCACTTTATTTTTTAATATAGTAATAAGTGGTCATATATAAAACATAAAACCTAAATGATATTTGAGCATTATACAAATCAATTTCACATACAAAAAAACAACACAAGGCACTTTGTGCATCACACAAAATGCTTGTCTTGATATGTAAAAGCTTTATAACGGTACCCCAACAGATGCAAAATTTCACAACGCCTTAGTATTAATAATTAATGATTAGATTTGTAGATAATGCAATGCATCATTACAAATTATAATTGTGTATCCTTCTGGATTAGGAAATTACTAGCTCTTATACATTTAGAGGAGTTTTATAAAGAGCCAACCAAATCAATTTAATACTCAATTGACATCCAAACTGATGAAGAATGAATTTATAATTATTACTGAAAATCTAATTGTTTTCTACTATGAAAATTTCGGGCCACTGATTTGATTTGCAAGTTAGCTATAATTTCAAAACACATACCTCTCATTTATATGCATGCTGAAGTGAACATTCCACCGTGAATGATTTATGGAATATAACAATTTTATTAGTACAGGAGACTGTTTATGGACCTCCAGATCATACAACTCCTAACAAATGTATGAGAATTGCAATATATCTATTATTCCACTGCAAAACCACAAGTTTCTTCAACAGCTTGAGTTAGTTTATCATATAATAATTGATAACTATCATATGGAGGCATATCTATTCTATTGAAGCATGTGTGAGCTTTTGGTAAATTTTGTACAGGAACATCTGCAGTTAAATGGATGGTAAATAATCGAGGTCCTGCCGCCCCAGTAGATCCTTGAAGAGCTTTAAACCCTTGTAATGGAACTCTTGAGGAACCGGTTACAAATTGCAATAATCTGGCTCGCATTTCTTCTGTATAGGACTCAACAGCCTAAAGAAAAATATTCAAATGAAGCAAAGTTCAGTTTATAGAAAAATATTATTTATTAATATCATACCAGCCAGAACCAAATAACTTGTGGAGACTCAGGAACACAATGTTTAAGTCGTGTGTGTGCCTTCCAGTCTGCTACATCTATCTTACTAATTCCGCTTATTATAAGTTCTAATTCTCTCTCATCAAATGGTCGTAAATAATGTGATGGAACTAATTCACAAAACCCTAAAACATATATAAAAAAATGTTTATTATAATTTTCTACTGCCTGTAAGTGATTCTTTTGTATAATTATATACCTTTATGCAAATTCAAAAATTGTTGTTCAATGCCCCTCATAAAACGATAATTAACATATAATTTTACATATTCACGTTTATTATCTTCTGTTACAACAATGGCTGCACCACCTGGTTTAAGTTCATGAACCTTTAGTACACCGAAACTATTTACTTCGACACTAAAGGTTGTATCTATA